AGCGCTCTACAAACAGGAGAAAGGAACTCTTCTTTTGTCAAGCAGATCATCCACTGCTGGTTCAAGGTTATAACCTCTGTATGTCTCGATTTAGTTCTATTAATCATTCTATATCGACAAGCACAAAAGCCTAGACAATTTTTGCTTATATGTGAACCTCTTTGAGTGTCTGGTCATGCCATGTCTAATTTTTGTTGTGTAATTAGTTCTCCCATGCCTATTTCATTAGTAGTAAAGAATTATTCCTCACGTCTTACATGTTACCTTTCTTGTTATAATAAATGATGAAATTCATAGCTAGGATCACGTAAAGTTAGTGCTATATCTACATAGTCAACTCTTCAAAATTGAAGCTATATCTATTTTGTCAGTCTTTAAAATTCCAATGCAAACAGATTAATGAGTTCCATGCTCTACTCTTGCCATTTCACTAGTTTCTTCTGTAATTTCTATACCTAATGTGCAACTTACCCTGCAACTTACATATTTGATATACACGCCTTCCTTGGAGATTTAATGTAGCACTACCCTCTTTATATATTTTTTCCATCAATTTATCTATTTCGTTTCCTCATCTAATGCTGACTGCTCTCTTATCTGTGCACTCTATAATCATAACTGGACACTCTTCCTTTTTCCCTTTTTTTAATATATAAACTGAATCCACCTATATATGCTTTCATGCAGGACCTCTGGAAAAATGCACAGGAGTATTGAAGCTCCGAGAAAGAAGATATTGCTTTAGACCTCATGAACCACTCACAATTTTTAAAGCAAAATAGCTTCCTATGTGCTGTATGGTGGTAATGTAATTCTTCCTTCTTTATTTGCAGATATACATGCACCTCTAACTAAGTTTGCTAATCTATCATATCCTCGTGAAAAGTGAAGACAACCACTCCTCCAAATGCTTCCAACAATTGTTTTTGTTCCTTTCCGCCGCTAAATCCTTAACTGTACCTGCATCTCAATCATTTTAATTATTGTGCTTGCTCCTATGATTGTGTGTGCGCGCGATACCTTTTATTTGAGATTTTAGGATCTTGATTTGTCAGGTGAATTTGTTTGGGCTCTTCACTGCAATATACACTGATTTTTAGATTCTTAATATCTTTTTAGCTTTTCACTTATTCATATGGTGTCAGTTAAATTGATCCACCAAATGTACAAAGAAACGAGCAACCATAACCCAACATCACACAGCACCTGCTGATATATGATACAAAGTAACTGCTGGCAAGGCACAGTACCAAAGTAGGTTCATCCATTTTTCCCCTTGTTCCTTTGTGTTACATATTTATGGGATATAAATATAACCTGTTTATTTTTGTTCAGGACCAGGCTGTTTATCCTTTCTTGCAATAGTTTTTCCTCTACTGTAGGCACCGACAACACCATGTAAAATGTAGAGGAGTAGTGAATTTTAAAACTCTCTCTCCAGATTCCTATACTCATGCTCAGGTAACTGAATGATCTAATGTTTCTGAATTAATGATGTGCTCCCTTGTCCTACACTTCTAATGAAAAAATCTACGTGCTTCACTGCTGTAACAAAACTATTTACCAGAGTAAATGATATTTTATTTGATTCATTACAGCCCACATGCCAACTGTGATTTTGACAGGATAAATTTTCAAACTATATTGCAATGTCTTCATCCTGTTGGTTCCCTTCTTGGCAAAGAAGTTGGTACTGGCTAGCTGATAAATGTCTCATTCCACAGATTTATCAAGAAGTATTTTGTTAGTTACAATTTCTAATGAACAATGTTTTCTGATCGTCTTATCGTTCCTAATCGGTCTGGTACTGATTAGGACGATTAGGACGATTAATCGACCTCTGATCGGTCTAATCGTCCATATAATCGTCCAACATATAGCAGGACTATATAAGTATATATCATATATGTATGGTATATATATAATATACCATATACTATATATTTATATAGTAGACATCGAGCATATTTCTAGTTAGTTGGTTACTTACCTATGAGATTTGACTCCATATTCTTGTCCCAACCTCCATATGTTTGCTAATTTTCTGCAGGAATAATAGATAACTTGAGTAAGTAGATGCAAAAGAATCTTTGATGGTGGTCTTTGCATGATCCATGGCTGCAATGATCTCAGGAGCTGCTGGTGTCTCATCGCCATCTGCAATCCTTAGAGCGACGAGAAGGGGCTGTGAAGCTCTCAAGCAAAACTCCACTCTATTCCAAAAAGGCATGGAAAGGACAAAATCCTCAACTTGTTTGCCTTCACTAGTGTTGGATAGACTGTTATCCTTCATAGGATCTAGCCACCACCCATACTTCCATCCTGAGTCTTGAGATCGAGCCTTCCTCTTGGGATCTTTAGCCTGTTGAGCAAGTTTTGGAGGCAGTGCTGCTATAGCCTTTTCTACAAGGGCTAAAACATCTGGAGCAGCTGAGGATGTTGAACCAGCACCACCCAATGCAACTGATGAGCTTGCACCAGCACCTCCTTCAGGATTAGGCCCAGGCATGATGACTTCCACTGCAAGCTGTCGCCTTCGATTTTCATCTACGCAAGTTCAGCAAATAGCCAAAGAAACAAAGCATCAAGATTTGAGCATAGTGCAGAGGAAAGGAGATGACAGAAATGACAGAACAAAGCCGATTTAATGACTCACCTTCAGAGGACGAGCTCATCTTCGTGCTCCCTAGACCTGCAGCCTGCAGGTGGGGAAGAGAATAGGCGACCCTGCAGCAGAAGGGAGGAGGAAGCAGCAAGCAGCAAGCAACAAGCAGCAGGGAAGATCCACGGATGGGCTGCTTGGATTGGAACTAGAAGGGAGGGAGGAGGGAGTGAGATGCACGCAGTAGGGAAGAGATGGAGCTCAGCTGCACACACAACAGGAGTGAGGAGTACTGAGGACTGAGGAGAGAAAGAGTGGGGTGAGGTATATAAGAGAAACCCTAATGGGCCTAGCCCAAATAAATATAGCCCAGTAAACTGAAGTAGCCCATCTGCCTATTTAGTGCTGATCAGCAAAGAGACCTAATCGGATGATTAATCGCGAGTAATCGACGATTAATCGGACGATCAGGTTTCTGATCGAATCGGAAGGCCTAATCAAGTGCTAAGTACCGATAAGGACGATTAATTGGACGATAAGAAAACATTGCTAAAGAAGATTGATTCATAAAGATCAGAGCTGCAATATCGTTTTAATTGAACAATATACCTACTATTTTCTCTGGCATTATGCCATTCATCTATTTCTCCATGCTTATGGTAATTACTGACGCCACATATACTGGCCATTTAATCATACGATATTTTATATTTAGCCAACATATGCAGGCTAGGTTACGATACTTATGTTGGTTGGTGCTTTAGATAGTGTAAATTGAAAGCATGAAAAACTGTCTCTTGCTAATTGTTTAAATTGCAATAGGACAAAGTCGCGGAATAAGAAGCTGATGGGCACCAAGTTTGAAAAAGATATCTGAATATCTGATGAACTTTTACTAAGCTACCTTCCCGGTGAGGAAAGCTGACTGGCTGCTGCTGTGTGTTTTTGCCCCTCACTGATTATGTAATATTAGTAGAATTATAGAGTGCAAGAATAGAAAAGTAATGGTTGAATTTTTCCTGTCAATGTTTTCAAGTTGTCTAGTCGAACCTAGTCACCATGGAACCGACCAGAAGACTAATCGTGATTAGTCGTCGACCAGACCGATTAGTCGAACCTAGTCGACCCCTGGTCGTCCTATATATCAGCATATATATACCTACTATATATATACCTATATATACTATATAGTATACACAATAAAGCAAGCATCAAGACTACATTAGTGTTTAGCTGGTCACTTACTTGTGTGAGTTTTCTTCTCTTTTCTGCCATGTCCAGAGGTCCATATTCCTGTCCCAAACTCCATTTCTTTGCTGACTTGCTGCTGGAAGCCTAAAATACCAAAGAAGACCATAATTAGCAACACTAATATAGTCTTGATCTTGACACAGCTCAACAGCAGCACTGTTGCAGTAGCAAATAACTAGCATTTAGCAAACAAGTTCAATACACATAAGCTAAAATGTTCAAGTTCAGTACACATAAGTTAAACTGCTAAAGTGTTCAACACAGAGTCACAAACATTGACATTTAACAGTCCAACGAAAGTAGGTAACGAGGCATCTAATTAAGCAAATCAATATTAAAAGTGAAGCCTCCATCTCCATCTTCAGTTTTAGTTGGTGCAGATTCTTCATCCTCCTCAATCGCTATTGCTGAATCTACATGCTGATCTTGGTCTTCATCATCAACTTCATCAATATCTTGAGTCAGAGTCACTGTGTTCCTTGGACGCTTCCTGTTCCTAGCATAAGTACGCCTCATAGGGGCAGCAATAGTAGCACGAGTAGCAGCAGCCCTAGGCAAGTTACGTCCCTCTAGACCCTGAGTTGCACCAATAGCCTCATGCACAACAGCCCAAGTCATAACATCGCCACCACCTTCCTGAACTGGTTCTGGTTCACAATTTTCATTGACCCATTTATTTTCCCAATGAAATTCATCAAGCAAGAGTGGATTGCATATCTTTCATTTGGAACCTAGCTCTCTAATTTTTTAAAATCTGTTTTCCATCTTGCGGTTGTAACTGATATATACCAACTTATTTATCCTTCGGTGCTCTAATCGGTTTCTCTTTTTTGTATGGATCTACATAAAATATAATGCAGAATCACATATCAATATTACTAGTTTACTACCATACTTAATTACTCAGCAGTAGTACACTAGCACTTACAGCAGAAAATTCACTCCAACTACGCTCGCATCCAGATGCAGCGCAACAAAGGCTAACAATCCTTTTTGCTAAACATTGGAGCTCATATGTGAGGCCACCATATGCACCCCACCAAAGCACTGTAATTTCCATAATTCCATTTCAAACATAGAATTCCATTATTAGTTCATTGCTGATTGCTTTTAGAAAAAGGGAAGGAAATAGTTATTAGAGAACTTACTAGGATTTTTTTCTATCTCTGTCTCTTATTGCTCCTAGCTGTGAGAAGGATTCGCCTTCAGCCTTCTCATAGTCTTCTGGCTGCCTGCTTATCTTGTTCTGCTCCTCATCATCAGTCACCATCTTCCACATAACTTGATTAAACATGATTCTCAGCCTTCCTACTTGTCTCCTATCCTTTTCCTTTAGGGCAAAGAACTTGCTTGGATTCAAGTATAGGGCTGCTCCATATAGCTGCTGCTCCATTTGGTTTTCCCATCTGTTGTCATAGTATTTTAGTACCTCTTTGAGTAAATCTGGTTTGCGTTGCAAAGAATCCTTGATTGCGGCCTTTGCAACATCCATGGCTGCCATAATCCCAGGAGCTACAGGTGTCTCATCTCCATCTGCTATCCTTAGAGCTACAAGAAGTGGTTGTGAAGCTCGTAGGCATAATTCTACTTTATTCCAAAATGGCATTGAAAGGATAATGTTCTCAACTCGCCGGCCTTCTTGATTGGTAGAGAAACTGGTAGCATGCCATTCATCACTAACCACTAAATTCCTCAATCCACTCCTATTCTTATGCAGGCTTGCCAATGTGAGAAATGAAGTGGCAAAGCGAGTTACAGCTAGCCTCACGAGATCTCCTCCAATCTTATTTCGCATTAGATGCGGGATCCTCTCCATTAAAAGCCTCCCTACTACCTTGAAGTTGGCTCCATTGTCAGTGACAATCTGCACCACGTGCTCCTTCCCAGCCTTATCAATTTGCTTCTCTAACAAGTCAGCCAACATATTCGCATTTGCTATCTCACTGGAAGCATCAACAAACATTAGAAAGAAAGTCCCTGCTGGACTGTTGCAAGGAAATTGATGAGATGGCGGTGGCTTGTGTCAGTCCACCCATTGGACATTATGGTGCAACCGTATTCCTTCCAAGCCTCCTCATGCTTCTTCCTCAACTCCGCTGTTCTGTTCACAGCTCTTTCAAGCAGCGGAGTCCTAACATCATGATATGATGGTGAGCGGTACCCAGGACCATATTGTCCAATTGACTCAAGCAAAACTTCCCAGCTTCTTGAATTAATGACATTCAATGGAATGCGATTCTCATAAAAGAAATCGGCAACATGATCATCAACAATTACTTTGGCCTCCTCATTTTTGTTTGTGCACTGCTCAAGTGTAGGTTGACTTTGCTTGGATTTGTGCTTCTCTGCAACTACTTCTTCTGGTGACTTGCAAAGCATGGAACTCACTAACCTAGACTGTTTTTGAGTTGCTAGTTTTGCTGCAGCAGACATAGTGAAAGAAGTGATGACAGCCTGAGCAATCTTCTTCTTGGCTTGCTTAACTTTTGTTCCAGAACTTGGTACTGGTACAACTGTAGGTTCTTCTGCACCAGCAGCATTTTGTTCATCTTCATCTTCTGCAGGTACCTCCACAAGAACAGTCCTTGAACACTTTTTCAGGTAAACAACTATCTCCTTCCTAACTATTGCTGGAGTATTAGGTCATTTTATTGCATCTCCATACCCCCCAGCAAGGTGCTGCTTGAATCTGCATATTCCGGCTGGGACTACCTTCCTGCAAAATATGCACTGCACAAAGTCCTTCTTGGAAGGATCTGGCCACCACCCATACTTCCATCTTGGGTCTTGAGATCTTGCCTTTCTCTTTTTGTCAACAGCTTGGGCAGCAAGATCTGGAGGTAGTTTTGCTATAGCCCTCTCAATTAGGGAAGGAATATCTTCTAGAGTAGATGAGGAAGCCGTGGCAGCAGGATCTGACCCAACTGATGAATCTGGAACACCTCCTTCAAGGTCAGGAGGTGGCATGTACACTTTCACATTTGCACATCGTCGGTCCACGTCTGTAGAAGAACAACTTCTTAGGATGGACGATGGAGAGCCAGAGAATAGCAGAGGGACAACAACACATCACAACAAGCAACCTAGCAGTTTAGCAGAGAGCCAGAGAGGCTGTAGAGTGAGGGATGGGGGAGGAGGGAAGAAGATAGAGAGGAGAAAGGCACATACCGTCGTCGGAGCAACTTATCACGAAGAACGGCGACTGTAGATGCACGGGGAAGACTGGAGGCGCGCGGGGGAGACTGGAGGCGCGGTTGATCGCGTGTGCCTGTGTGCCTCCTGCTTTTTGTGTCTATTCTAACCCTAACAAGCCAAATTGGAAGCCCAATAGGCCACATATAGGCCCGGTTGAACAGGCCAAAAAAACAGAGCAACCACCCTAGTCGTCCATAGCCTAGTCAGACGACTAATCGTGATTAGTCGTCGACTAGTCAGACGACCAGCTTTTTGGTCGAGCTAATCGAGTTGAACCTCCTAATCGAGGACCAGGGACCGATTAGGACGATTAATCGCGATTACGACTTGTAAACATTGATTCATGTTACATTAATCTAGCATATTTCAATATACAAGCATGTGTGATCTTCCCATGCTTTGATGGTGCTTGCAACATGCCTCTTCAGTTCTCCAAAGTTACTCATCTACACTTAGCTTTCAATATTGTAAGGTAATTAGTCTCCATGTTGAAGTGCGGGCCTGGTGCAAGCGGTAGAGTCTTACCACCTATGACCGGAAGGTCCCGGGTTCGGTCGCGGTCTCCTCGCATTGCACAGGCGAGAGTAATACTTGCCACTGACACCCTTCCCCAGACTCCGCACAGAGCGGGAGCTCTCTGCAGTGGGTACGCCTTTTTTTTTAACTAGTCTCCATGTTGCTACAATGTACCAGCTGTGTGCACATATTGGGGAAAGGAAAGTGCCCGCTGTTTACTTAACCACTCTTCATTCATTATTCGAAGAACTACGTACAAATGTTTGGACGTGAACTACTTAGTACCATGCTCAAACTGGTATTCTTGCATTTTTTTTATACATCGATCATATTTCCTCCGTCTTCAAAATGTTTCCTGCTGCCCGCCTACGCGCGCGAGGGCGCACGTCTTCTACTAGTGCTGTACTTTCTGAGTTGTTTCTATTGGCTGATACGTGCTGTATTTTTTTATCATTCCAGTTTTGATATTCTATATGTGCTGCCATCTGTGTACGTACAATTTTTTATTTCTTCATTCCAGATTTTGATTTTCTATATGTGTTGTGTGCTGTATCTGTATGTGCTGTGCATTTTTTTATTTCTTCATTCTAGATTTTGATTTTCTATACGTGTTGTGTGTGCGTTTTTATATTTCTTGACGTGGCACATTTTCATTTTCTGAAAGTGGAAGACAATAAACATCAAAATCTTCCAGAAGCTGTCATGGTAGTATATGTGGTGTATTTTCGCTGTTTTATTTGTCTTGTGTGACATGTCACGTGGCAACTTTTTATTTGCTGAAAAAGTGAAAGACAACAAACAAAAAAAAAATCTGCAAGGAGATGTCTAGTGAGTCCCAAACCGATTTGCTTTTCTACAAATATATGTACTAGTGTATTTGTTACTTCCTTCGTCCCCGAATAAATCAATTCCTAGCTAGAATCCGTGCAAGTTAAACTATTTTAAATTTGACTAACTTTATAAAAAAGAATAACAACATGTATGGCCTAACAAGGGATTATCAAAACATATTGTATGCTATATCTAATGATACTAATTTGATGTCATAAATCTTGACGAGTTCTTCTAGAAACGTGATCAAAATTTAAAAAGTTTGACTTAAGACAACTCTAGGAATCTATTTATTTAGGGACTGATGAAGTACAAAAATAAAATAAAAGATGATGATGCTGCAGGCTAGGATCATTTATTTGTCTGCCTTCAATATTAATTGATTTAAGCGGACTTATTATTTATTTCAGAAATTCCTTTTGTCTCTGTAAGCATGTGCACCAACTACTGGTGTCACAAAAACACATAGCTTGGCATCAGCATTCTGAAAAAATTATAAACAACTCAATAATCGAAAAGAGGGAAGCAATAAAATGTTTATGCAGAACTGGGGCGTACGGTGTCAGAGAGGCATAAAGTCGCAAGCATGTTTTTGTCTTCATCCTCAGTAGCTTTTTAACTAAGCAGACTATTTTTTTTTCTATAAATTTCAACTTCCAAGAACATGTATAGCCTTTACCCAACGACGTCACTAGTTACGTAAGTCTCAGTAGCTGCCTTTAATTTATCTGATCAAGACATTAAGTTGGGTATCAGGCTATCTTCAACAACAACACCTAAAATACAAGACACATTCGTTCTTTGGGTAGCACTATAGACAAAAGGTTCAATACCTATTCGGCATCTTCTCCAACAACAAGACCCAAAAGAGAATCATTTCTATAAATGGGTTTTCAGGAGAGAAGATGTCCATATTTGGGTGGTGTCTCTCACGTAACATAAAATAGATCTTCTGTATAGATATTCTGTTGGAGCCTGATTTTATATCTTTTGCTATATATTTTAGGTTTGGGTGCACATATAGGTTCCTATTGGAGACAGTCTCACTTGCATTATAAGGGTGTCCCAAAGAGCCTGGTACAAATAGATAGCGACATTGAGCAGATAGCAAATAAAAAATTGAAGAAAATGTAAGCTGCAGGGCAGCCAAGAAAAGCGATAGGTGTTAATCCAACTTGTCTCTGTCTTTTTTTTAATTAAATCCCTGCTTTCTCAGTCTTAATCATTTGAAGTGTGGGCTCATAAGCTAGTTGCCCATGAGGCAATAGCGCTCTCGTGAAGCTTTGAAGTGTGGGCTCATAAGCAGACAAGGACGTTGGTGAAGGTGACAGATAGTAGGCCCCAGATCAAGGTTTTTTACTCGTGACTACGGACCCATCAGGGGTACAAACATGGTAATTTTGGAATAAAATTATTTTTATCCTAAAATTGGGGGGCATGTGTTTACATCAAAATTTGGAAAAGAAGAATATGGGAACTCGAAGCTTCTAAGATTGTATCATCAAGGGATTGATCAGATGTGAATTAGTTGGTTTTGATGCAGTGTCGGAATTGGCTCTTTTATAGATAACATCAGCTGACAACATCAACGGACTACGTATGGATGGCGTCGGGGGAAAACATGTTGGACTCTAAAAAAGAAAAAGATTAGAGTACAAGTTATCTTAAGTTATGAATGTTTTCTTTTACTCCAAGAATTGTAATGAGTCATATTTGAGTAGGATTCATGTTTAGGTTCCGGGTATAAATATTGGACACCGGCTATTGTAAAGAGACAACCAATCAATTAATACCAATTACTTTTTTTGGCTTCACGTCAACCCTTAGAAGTAGGAGTACTATAGATCTTAACGAGTTCTTCAACAAGCAGGGCTGCATCGATCCGGTCAATCTCTGGCTTGTCTGTAAGTACCGTCATTGCTCATTCTTTTGCTTTTAAGGCTGCATCGGTCTGGTCGACCTCTTATGAGCTCTAGTATAAATTAGTTATCGATCTGTATCATTATTTGTAAGGCTGCATCAGCTGATTGATCTCTTGCAAATCATAATATAGATCAAAGTTATCGATCTTGTGTTAAATAACTTGTTTAATACAATATCACTGGTTATCGAATCGGCTAAGATTAGTAAGATTTTCCTTGCTGTTTTTGGTTGATTCACCAGTTATCGATCTTGTTATAATTAATGTTCTATTAATCATAACAAGTCACCTGATTGAAATAGAGATAGATCGGCATCATATCATCATAATTGGTCGTCTTCTAGTCTGATCACACTATGAATCTAATAATTGATGGCTTAATTCTGCTAGATCGACTGTTTTATCTCTATTCCAATGAAGCATAGTATGCATTTAAAGACATGTTTCGATCTTGGATAAACTCACTAGTTAATGAAATCTAATCTAATGACACTACCATAGCTGCATCGATCCGGTTGAACCTCACTGGTAAGACTTTAGATTAGAGATTATCGATTAGTGGTTTTATTCGTGATCGAGATATGTACTCTGTTTGTTTGCTATGCATGCATCGGCTATTTTAGTTGATTCGGCCGTGCTTTCACAGATATGACACGCTTTCATGAACCTGTTGACATATAGTCAGTTTTATGGATTTTCTGGTTTTATATTATTGTCATCATCATAGCTGCATCGATCTGGTCGAACCTCACTGTTGATGGTAATAAATTAGATCTAGACAGTTCGTAGATCTATTTATATTAAACAGTCGATTGTTTGCGTGGTATATTCCTTTTTTACCGAATTCATTGGCTTTGCACCACGAATTGATTAAAACTAATTTAGCCAATGATGTATCTTTGACGCGTGCATATTAATAGCTCAAGGGAAAGGATCATTGAAACTAGGTGCATTGTACAAGTTATTATAAATCAATCATGACCCACGAGCATCACAGTCCTTAACAACCGATTTCTTCTCATATCGGCTATTTAGTTGATTTTTTCATTTGGCTGCTCCCGAAGTGGCACACTTGAAATTGTCTGGGCAAAACCGGCATGTTCCACCATAAATTGCTGAGAAACTTTCTCTTCTTGTCAATTGCAAGTCAAATTGACTGGCCTTCGAGATTCACAGGATCGACTGGTCTTGTGTTGAAGCCAAACAGATCTCCAGATCATTTTGGCTTGCTGCGTGTCCCGGGTACATTACCACATTTTCACGTCGACAACACCACAATGTGTATGTCTGTCAGCATTTTCACAATCATTTTTCAAAGGATTAGCCACTCAACTTGCCATGCCACTCGATCCTAGCGACGATGCAAAGTTAGATCACTCGAGTGGCACTAGATGACCGATTTGCAAACAAGTTTGCCCCTCTTGATAGTACGGCCATCTATCCTAAACCCGGTCATAAACTTCTCTACACACCTATGATCGGTGAAATGAAATGCCCTAGGTTA